GATAAGATACTACATGTACCAATGGACTCTTCCAAACTTTGGCAGCAGTTTAGATTTCTCTTGACATAGAACAGCAGTCGAGACGATGGGGGGTCAAGTGACGTAATGTTCAACGACCTTATTTTAAAGATGACTGTGAGCCAGCCCGTGAGATTGAATGGTTGAAGGCAAAAAGACTGGAAAATACCAGAACAACGTGAGTGAAATCATTCAATAAATGGTGCTAAGAAAGCGGAGAGGCTAAGGATCATCTCTGTGTCCAAAAGAAATTGCGCCCACGATGATAAGTGGGTGCACCGAAAATGTTCAGTACGCCGACACGAAATTGCTTATACAGATGTGTGGCCAAGGAATGAGCGGGAGTGAGAGTCCGTGCCACACTAGCGGGGCTAAGTGCCGTGTAGTAGTGCAAGATAGAGAACTTCGCCGTGAAATCATATAAAACGTGGTAATTGCATGGGTGCATTTAAGTTGGCAATATGCCTGCACAATGTATGTTAATGCAACAGGCGCAGGTGCTGCTACAGGCACACACACCTGATGCACCTGTGCCTATGCATCAATGTGGACTGCGCAGGTGTATTACTTACTCAAATGGTGTCCATGATGATTATACTTTTTGGCAGAGTTCTCCATCTTGTGCCTCTATTCAGTGCTATACGATCTTTGTTCCGGACAACGTGATCATTTGCCAACTCGACTTCGGACAATTTAACTGTTGAGACAACTCTCAACCATTGAAATCCTGCATAACCTTGTTGGGTTCAGCATGGTTAGGGTTAAGACCATTATCAAAAATCCCTGAAGCAAAAGAAATCGACAAATACATGTACATGTATTTACAGGGCGATTATGTCACTCACTACGTGTGATCCCAAATACTTTTTTCATACTCAACATTCATATAAACTTTCGCATCTAATGACTGTTTAATCGAAATGACTTTTAAAGTTTCCATTTTATAAAAACTGGCCGAAAACTGAATGCATATTTTTTCCCAGTTTCAGATTGAGAAATACACTTTCCAAGCCTAACTTACTACATGTGTTCGGAATAGCAGAAATGTATGTGATGTAATGGGTTCATCGACTGTGCGGCAGGGGGGACAATCTGACTGAATAATTTTCGCGATCCCGAACTAGCAAAATGACTGGATAATAATGAGACATCTCACTGGTTGAGATGTCTCTCTGTCAAAGTCAAGTTGTCCTAATTGACAACTTGGCAATTAGTCAAGTTGTCTCAACGGTCGAGTTGTCTGAAATCGAGTTGGCAAACGGTCAAGTTGTCCAACGTCCCCGTTCGACAACTCTACCGTTTGCCAACATTAGTTAAGGAGTGCAAAAGAAAAACCAATCTGTCCCACCAGCTGACCAGACACATCCATTTCACCATGATGTACATGTATCATACACATAACTCTCGCCAACCATGCTCCAACACAGGCGTGACAGGCAATTACTTTATGAACTGTCAACTGGCACACTTACCTCAAACTGAGGCTGTTTGTTTTCCCATTGGGTAACATATCCCACTAGTAATATGGAAATACAGTTTAACTCTTTCATTTTTACACAATTGAATAATTTTTTTATATCATTTTTAATTGAGAACAGTATATTTTAAATAATGAGATTATTTGCCAACTACGAAATTTCCAGTAGTTGCCATCGGGAGTGCAGGCATGGCACACAAATCTGAAACTTGAAGGTCCAATGGCCTTAATTAATTACATGTATGCCTATTCAGAGGAGCAAACATGGTGAGTTGAAAGAGACTGCATTCAATTAGAATTTAGATCAACTGATTAATGCATAACTAATTAGAGTCTTGCAAGTACTGAATTTTGAAGTACATGTAGTTAGTTTGCCCTATTAACCTTTCTGTTGTACATTTTGTTGATCATCAGATCATGTGGAAAATTCTGCATCAATGCCATCAACGTCTGAATTTTGCTTTCAAACATGTTAATGTTTCTATACAGTGTCAAACAGGTCAGTATATCAACAGGTCAGTCTGTTCATGAGGAATATTGAGGAGTCCATGTTTGATTGCCAGTGATATTAAACTCAAGCCTTGACCTTAGCATTCTTTGAACCTGTGCATTTCATGAAATTTATGTTTTCCCTGCAAATCAAATTGTGAAGAGGAATTCATCATTTTACATCAAGTTCAGTGGGCAGCATGGCACAGAATCACAATAAGTGCATATGAGGAACTCTTACTCTGGTTCCTGCTACAAAATTGAAAATTGCGCGAACTATAATGGATAGGCACTTGGCAGAGAACCAATCTCTTACACCCATGATGCATACACAGTACAAATCCAAACTAAGCATTGTGCAAACATTGAAAAAGATCAAATCTAGAAAAGTGTTTAGTGATAATTTGTTCCAGTCAAGCTTTAAAAGCTAATCTTTCATTCTTTTTTGTATTTGTATTTTCTGAATTTAGTCAAAAAGTTAAGGCCTGTAAACTTCGTTGAAAGACTGTTCCACTGGCACAGAATGAAATTGTTTGAATTTTGATTTATCCAAATTTGAAACAGTTGTTCTTGCATGGCTGTAGTTGTATTGATAACTACAGAGAGCAATGTTCCATTTTTTACCTTATTTATCCCAGACAAATGTACATGTATACATTCGTTACTCTGTTTTCCCTTATCTTAATATTAAACTGAATGCTCTATACAATTTTGGTCTGAAGTATGCTGAATCAGCTAAAATCTGAAGTCACTCAGTGCTTTTTTTATAAACATTGGGAAATGAAGCTCCTTTAAAGACTGGGTGTTGATGCAAGAACGTGGGAAGAAATTTGACGTGTTCACAGAATTGATTAATCACCACTCACATGTATTTGTATTGATTTTGCTTTGGTTTTCCTCAGCTTGGTCTAATACCAACACCAGTCTGTGGCAAAGAATGTGGCCTCTGATGTCAGTCATGACCTCTTCTAGAGGGATATCAGTGGACCAGCTTCACAGGCGAGGCCCCTTCCACAAGAAACCCAATCCCAATAAGACCCACCCGACTGACCACCGGCCCCAGCTGAAGGGTGTGGTCTTGAAGACTCTGATTAGGAAACCCAAGAAACCCAACTCGGCCAACAGGAAGTGCGCCAAGGTGCGGCTGAGTAATGGCAGGGAAGTGGTGGCATTCATCCCAGGGGAGGGTCACAATCTTCAGGAACACAACATTGTCTTGGTGGAAGGGGGCAGGACTCAAGATCTACCCGGGGTCAAACACACAGTCATCAGGGGAAAATTTGACTGTGGACACGTTGTCAAGAAAAAGAAATAACACCAGTGCTTCTATTTTTGAAAATACAATATTGAGATGGTATTAATTTGTTTTGCACATTTGTTTCGAATGCTAAACCACATTTCCGCCAACAGTCCCAAAGTCACCAATATTGATAGAAGTTTGCCTACTGCCACTTTGAAGCAGGATGTTGAATAATATTTTTCTCAGATGTAACATTCAACAATGGTAGCCAATCGTCATAAAATGAACTTCCAACATTTCCTGAAGGTTGCTGATATTTTGAAAATGTATTATTTGGAGGGTATGATTGAAATAGCATCATCGTGCAACAGTGTTTTTGAGATAATGATCTTTTTGAGAACTGTATACAATAGAATCTCATTAATAAGAAGTCTTTTGGACCACTTGTTATACATGTATCAGGATTCTTGTATTATCAGGAATGAGAACAATGGAGAACAGAAGCTTGGAACCTAAAAATGTCTCTGTTGTATTGACAGTGCTCTTATAAACAAGGTTCGCCTGTATCGATATTTCAAAAGTTGAAATTTGAAAATTCAATTGTAAAATGCAACTGACAACAATTAGTAATGAAAGGAAATGTAGAAATTTAAATGGACGTAAAACCAAATTTTGGCAAAGCCAAATTAGCCAATTTTTTCACAAGATTTGTACAAATTATATACTAGCCCATTTGCTACAATAAAATGTCAATACATGTATGTATGCCTTCGTTGCACATGATAGTGGCCTTTGGTTTTCCGCAGAGATTACAATGATGAGAAAGAATTCTGGATGAACCTTGTTCAAAAACTCGAGAAAGTAAGATAGCTGTGATGAGATGCAGATGTATCTAATTTATAATTTTAGTCCGTGTGATGTAACCAGGAATTCTGAACACTGACTGGAATATCTAGTAAACCTCTGTACCACATGTACCTGACTACCATTGTTAATTACATCCTCCCATTGTTAATTACATCCTCCCATTTATTGGTCACCTACATACATGTCTAGTACAGGTGCGGTTTCTATCTCCTCCCATTTATTGGTCACCTACATACATGTCTAGTACAGGTGCGGTTCGTACCTCCTCCCATTTATTGGTCACCTACATACATGTCCAGTACAGGTGCGGTTCCTACCTCCTCCCATTTATTGGTCACCTACATACATGTCCAGTACAGGTGCGGTTCCTATCTCCTCCCATTTATTGGTCACCTACATACATGTCCAGTACAGGTGCGGTTCCTATCTCCTCCCATTTATTGGTCACCTACATATTTGTCCAGTACAGGCGCGGTTCCTACCTCCTCCCATTTATTGGTCACCTACATACATGTCCAGTACAGGTGCGGTTCAGGGGGGGTTAACTCCCCTCCTCAAAACTTACCTGCTCCCTTGAAAAAATGCAAAAAAGCAGTACCGAATGTTAAAAGGTGACATCACATGCGAAGAGTCCAGCCCCCCTCTAAAACTGCGCCTGGTCCTGTATATGAGGGTTTTTTCTGTTCCACTCCTCTGTTGTGGCTTTTCAGACCTTGTCAAAGGAGTAGCTCAAATAAATGGCATTTCCCCTTGAAGTTTTGAATGTTCTTGTAAGATTTTATTAAAATTACACATACGTGTGTATTAAACAGATACTTTTTAAAAAATATATGGTTAACCGAAACAGATTTACTTAGCTTAGCGCTGATAGAATGATTGCGGTTAACTTGGTGTTCTAGTCAGGACAAATGAACAGAGTGAGTGCTAAAGAAATGAGAAAAAAATAGGTAGCAAAATTAGTCCATCTAAATTTGTTGTACAGTTTCCCCACGACGCAGTGTACGAGATATGAACTGTTGGCATTTGTTTTGTATTCTACTAATAATACTTGAAAAAAGTTGCTGTATTATGCTCAGAAGTTTTTCTGGATCGATACTGAGGAAAGAAATTCTTATCAAAGCAGATAACATGATTTGAATGTCATGATCACCCTAAATAACTCTGATTAAGCAGTAGATGTGGCAGTAGCAGTCCTAGTTGATTAAAATGTGACATTTACATTATAAAGTGTAACATTTAAAGAGCACCTGTAAGTAAAACATGTTTTCTCTGATTTTATCTATTCAAATACAGTAAATGTGGGAGCATTCATATCGAACGCAGTGTCATTTGACTTCTGATTTCAACTATAACAAACTAAAAAGTGCTTTTTTTCTGTTCATGCCAAGATTAGAATTCTGTGCGAATACTATGCAATGTTGCCATTGTTTGGCACGCACAAGGGTTTACCACTACGAACACAGGGCGAAGGTTCTCGTTTTCTCTGTTTTAGTCTCCGAATGATGCAATCTACCTTCAAAATCCGCATCTTGGCATAAACAGAAAAAAACCTTCTTAGCTTGTAGTTGAGCTGTGAGAGAAATGACACTGCGTTGCATTTGTATGCTTCCGTATTTATTTGAACAGATAAAATCAGAGAAAACATGTTTTCCTTAGAGGTGCTCTTTAATATGCTTTGAGAAAGTCTACTTTCTTTGAAAATAACTGTGCCCCTATTCACATCGTAGGTTTTCATGTGAAATCACAAACAGACCTGGCAGCATTTCAGAAATAATTGATCTTGACAAGGATTTGGTTGGTGAAGTTTCTCAGAAAAAAACTTGAAAAAATACAATCACTTCAACTGAGTATTTGCACGCAAAATTCATGAACAACAGAGATAGGCAGTCGAATTACCGACTAAAATACTGTTTTCTAAAAAAGAGATTAAATTTCTCAGGCTGTATGTCATTTTCATTATTGTACGGCGTTATTTTTATATTTAGCCATAACAGGTTTTGAAATTATTGCATAACCGCTTTCTAGCTGTTCGTTGGGACACTAAGCAAAACAGTCGTGTGACTCAGTGTCTCTGTTTCGCGCTACGCTTTCAACGTCATGGGTATAATAAATATTGGCGGGTCAGTCTTTGTGCACGAGTCGGCCTTGTCCGCCGCGTTTGTGGCATACATTACGCATTGTCCTCGATTAACCCGAAGCCATCGAGCAGGTCGGAACCATTACCTAACAACTCAAGAATGACCAATCAATTCATTCGATAGGAATTATAAACTCCCGTTGCTTGCCTAACGGTGGCGCTGATTGGCTTGCGGGTGATAAGGCCCGCCTACACATGCTTATGCGGCCGTCAAGTTCAGGTTCAGGTCAAAATTACAACGAAGGGCCGGCTGCATGTACATGTATGATGTATACGCAGACTACATGTACAATGTGCCGTTTGTGTAGGCGATGCATGCCAGACATGTCGATTTGAACGGCTGGGAGTTCAAGCGGTTTGTTCTCCGCTTTGACGAGAATTTTGAAATAAATGTAGGGGAGATTTTCACAAGTATTGATTCGGATTTAGCCCACTAACTGCTGCAAAGTTTAAGGACGTATCGTAGATCACCTACAGGAGAAAGCACAGTCAAGAAAGCCGCCTACAGCTGGTGTGTTTTGTTTCGTGGTCACCTCGCTAGGACAAGGTTAGTCTGAAATCTTCATAAATTGACCCAGATAGTTACGTAAGGGCGTGTCAACCGTGTTTTTGTTTGTCTCAAAATTTTGTGTTTTCAGTCATTTCTAGGAATAAATGGTAGGTCCAGTGTGTGCCTGTTGTTACGCTGAATCTTACTGCAATTTTCCTGTTGGTCCCAGAAGTTAGGGGATTACGTAATGTGTCGTAATACGTGGCGCGCGCTTAACGTTGGGAAATAGTGATCACCCCCCAGCGCGCCATGACATACATGTACAGGTACATGTACACCAGTTTGGCGTGTAGAGTTGTGATTCAACATTGATGTTCAATCAGTTGGTAGCCTTCTCAATTGGAAGCGACATTCTAGCCGGTTTCGAGTGATGATCAGTTGTGATTTTTCATCACCGTCAATGTGTGTACCTTCGGAGGCTTAGCTGTAATACAGCATGGCTTTGTTCGTGCAAACTACAAATCCGCTGTGTTTCAAAGGACTAAGGTTTGTTGTTCAATTCAGTGGTTATAAAAAGTGACACGGGCTTGGTATGTAGGGTGACGTGTTCTTAATCCATGGTAGGGCCTATTGTAATTGGGGTACGTTATTTGATTTTAAAGAAGTTTTTGACGAAATATGCTTAATTTTCTTTTACTACTGTTTACTGAATATTGAGTACATGTATGTGGAAAGTATGGTTGTACATGTATATATATAATGGAACGACATGTCTTTGTATGGTGACATGATGCCACGAGACTGATTGGGGACAAGAACTTTTTTCTGTACAGTTGAAGAAAAGATGGGTCTTCTATTTTTCTTCACATTTAGATGATGTAGGGCTTATTCCTTATTCTGAAATAACATTTACCATAATTCGATGTTTTCGGTTCAAATTAATTGCATCTGTGGATTAGTAATGTAGTTGCAGTATTGCTTTATGCAATATGGATGATGAGTTTAATTCAGTAATGGTATGAATTATCCTTTCGCTCTATCTCAATGCTAGAAAGCGTCCACATGCCGACATTTGACTGAGACCGCCTCGTATATAGGCTACTAAAACTGTTCTTATTTGAATGAAAAAATTGCAAGAACAGTGCACTAGTCTGCTCACATCTCGGCTAGAGGAGAGACCAATGTGCAACAATTATGTTGTGGTATTTATTATTTTTTAAGGTTTTGCTGACATTCAAAAACATTTTTTCAAATACTGCTAGCATGGCAAGGGTTGGTGTTTGTTAACAGCACTTTTCAACCATTGTTACAAAGAAAGGCTGGAGAAATTACTGCTTCTGGAATACGTGCAAATAATTCAAGTTTTTTTGAAAATATGGAGATATTACACGACAGTGTTTTGCCTTGATGAAGGCTTAGCAACCTTTCAATGCACGTGCGGATGTTTACATGTATGAGAGAGTATCATCTTCAGTGTCTCCTTCAGTAAAAGATGTCCCTAACCGACAGTTTGCTCTTACATGACAATACTGCTTCTAACAATACTCGACAAAGTGCATCTTCGTATTGGTGATGAGACAATAACCACAGCTGAGAGAAAGGTCCTTGTCCGGGCCATGTTACGTAATGTTACATGTGCGTTGAGACTAACGTATTGAGGCAGCGAGCGGGAAGTTAGTGCTGTGCGTTGCTTCCTTTGTGCTTCGCCTTGCTTTCCTGGGGGTGAATCCTCTAGGTAAAACAGCAAAACTCCCCCAAAACAGCGACATAGCTGCCTAGAGGAAAATTAATCAAGTGATTTAACTTTGAAGGTAGGTTGAGAAAGGGATCTCAGCCAAACGGACGAAATGCGGTGGTCTTATCTTCTAAGTTACATGTGATGTGCAGGGTAGATATTTTCGCCAAAACAAATAACGAAGGACGCCTAGTCCGTAGGCGGATGCATGCCGAATACCACAAGTTTAGTTTACGATTCCAAATGATCCTTCATTTTGTCTTGTCTTGGTTTCGACCACAAGAAACTGTTTTAATACACGGTTGTTACTCCACGGTAGAATGAGTACTTTATATTGATTCTTGATTTGGTATTAATATCAGCAGGAACTATGCACTATGTAATGAGAACAGGACTTATTGCCTTGGTGTGCCGTCTACTGGACATCCACTGGACTTGCTCCGGTTGGGATCAGTGGAAACTCCGTTGGTAGTCTTTCTAGATATCCAAATAAAACTCCTCTCAGTTTGTGTTGAATTTAAATATTTTCTGTTGTGTACAGAATAGAAGATCCAAAATGTTGAAAAGACCTTTGTGTCCATTTTTCGAACCGTTGTAGTTGCATGTAGCCCCTTGTACACTCAATTCACAGAACTTCACCATGTTGTAGCATAGCTAGTGCATCGTGCTTGGCACTATGATTGCAAGCATTTTGTCGAAGTTGCTTCAGTGAATACTAACCTTCCTTCAAAATAAAGAATAAATTATTGGTCTGGGATGTTAAAAAATCCATAATAATGGTTCTTGATTTACAAGAAAAGCGAGACAAAGCTGTGTAGCGCCCTATATGTACATATAAGTATAAGCCGATCAGTCTGGTAGACTGGTTATGTTCGTGGTAGTGCATATGACCTGTCCGTTTAAGTCAAGGGCAGGCCATGGACATCGGTGACTATAAACGACCTGACTTCAGGCATGTATGAGGTGAATCAGCCAGCCCATTTATAAGTAACACGTATGCAAATAGTGTTTCAAATGTGTATTTCAGTAGTTGAAAAACCATCACTCATATTTCTGAATAGCGACGTGACAGTTGTAAGGGCATTACCAGTAACAATTTTCTAGGGACGATGATTTAATTAAAGCAGAAGTAATGTAAGGGCTTGAGATGCTCCTTGTTCCCATTCTCTCAGTCTAGCCCCGCCCACAAGACGGTGTTATGGGTGTCATATCCTGAGAAAATAAACTTTAACAGATAGTCGTCAAAACTTCAAGAGTAATGGCCCAAACTCTCCCGGAAGCTTCAGAAATTAATAACAATAAACCACCCCACCCCCAGGTCAAGAATTTTACCATTCAAAAACCGTAACGAACGAATCGGTTCACGTTGGACAGACCACTCAACTGAAATAAGAGTTACTGGAATAACATTCATATTAAAACACAATAATCGTGAAAATGCAAGCAGCAGACTTTTGTTTGTATCTCAACTTTGCTATTTAGTTATAACAATACATATTTGATTTTGCAAGAACATATACACACACACACAGATGATTTGGAAAACGAACAATCTATTTATGCTGAACTGCCAGATTCCTAGTGTGGTCTGTAATCCTACTTTGTGAGTTGATTCCAACGCCACTTGTATTAGTGACTGCATAAGTATATAGAAATCGATTCAGAGGAAATAAAAGCTGATATATGCACGTCAGAGATTACACTTTTCATTGTAATATCACTGTGCGATATTGTGATGCCGAGATGGAGTTGCATGCTGATTCATGTTGATCTTTACTGTAATCAGTACATTAAAAGCCAACGTTCTAGTAAAAGAATTTTTTTCTTCTGAAAGTGGATCTTTATTCCAAAGTCGGAATCAATTCAACAGGGTGTTTAGAGTTATCTCACATGTAAGGGAAGTCAAATTTATGGACCGAGTCTGATTACGAGCAATCTAGTGTTAATGAATATTGCAAGCGAAAAAAGCGCAATAAAGTTAGAGCCAACGTTTGTTTTAAATTCCATTAATAGATTTTTGTTATCTACGTGAAACTGCTGCGTTTGGAAACTAATATTAAGGGTTCGAGTTGCGCAGAACAGGACAATCCAAGTTTGGGTGATTTTTGTTGAAAACAGAGTTTTTGGAGTTTGAAATAATCCGAATGTCGCTAGATCACAAACCTATTTCCCAACTTTGTCTTTTTTATCTTTATAGGTCCTTTGGTAGGTGGCCAACAGTCACCATGTCATCTATCGAAAGCAGTCCTGACCATGCGCGGGATGTGCCCTGTAAACTAGAGCCACAGTCCCCGCCACACAGCGATGACGAACCCACAAATCTCGTGATCAACATCAAAGAGGAGCCAGCGGATGAGGAATACCGAGAGGAATACCATGACAATAGGGAAATCGTGGACGAAATCAGCAAAGATCATCAGCAAAATAACGGGGAACATGTCGCAGAAACGGAAGCAGAGTATTACAAAGAGATCAACATACCCCAAATTGTTGTAGCCCCCAAACCGGAGATCAACCAGACTAAGATGGTGTTATCGCCGTGTATTTCAGTTCCTTTAGCCAATGGAGGATCTCTAAGACCCATCAAATCTGGTCGAGGTACATGCAGGGATCTCTCGAGCACCCCAACGCCACCGCCTATAACCTCAACTCGCCTGGTACCGGTGAACATCAAGGCATCCGGGCCCATACCGATTGCTCTGACACTGAGCAAGCCAGAGGTAGATACGAAGACTAATACGTCAACATTGGACAGCCAAGCACAGGCGCATCACCTAATGACGCTAGCAACAGAAGCAGACAAGATACTGAAAAAGCAAGAGAAGCAACTGAGGAGGGAAGAGGGAATGAGTTCTGACCATACTGCCAAAGTAAAGCTTTGCATCAGTGAGGAGGACAATATGTGTTCGTCGTCTGACTCCAGTGGTGCTGGTATCGATTCTTTCTTGAACACAAACGATCAGACTCTTACACTAATTCAGAGACGAGCTGCCGAAGCGTCGCTGTCTAGCACGAAGAAGACTAAGAGGAAACGAAGCCAACTGCCTGACGATATGAAGGACGAAACTTACTGGGAGAGACGGAGGAAGAATAACGAAGCAGCCAAGAGATCCAGAGATGCCCGACGGGCTAAGGAAGACCAGATTGCCATCCGTGCTGCCTTGCTAGAACAAGAGAATATGAGACTTAGGATTGAAGTAGCTGCACTCAAGGAAGAAACAGTCAGGTTGAAAGGCTTGCTGTATGAGAAGTGAGGAGTTGACATAACACCGCCTGTCCTTGCCCTAGTCACGTCTATCTGGTTTAAAACCTTATCACTGAAAACATTTAAGCCTGTTTTTCTGTCATACAGTCTCTAGAATAAGTCGCCGAGGGTTTTCTAGACATGAGCCCATCGAATGGCTGTCATTTGTAGAAGGCCAAGCTGTTTGACAGTTTCTTCAGAACTGTTTCACAGACAATCGTTTTAATGGATAAAAAGATTCTATTGCACTTGCTTGGCCTGAAATTGGGTGCTGTTAACGCTGCTGCATATTTATAAAGCTTCCGTTGGAGGTCTGGTTCCATAAATTTCAGTCGAAAATAATACGTCATATAGAATGGACGAGGACTGAAGATACGTGCAAAGAATTGCACGAATCTACAGTTCCAAGTTCTATTCTCAGACTAACTATTTCCCGCTGTTGCACGAACATGGAGTCCCCGGTCTATGACGCTCTCTCTCTCTGTTAACCCTTCGCTTGACTGCACACCCTTTGTTCCATGACGCTCTCTCTCTCTGTTAACCCTTCGCTTGACTGCACACCCTTTGTTCCATTTGTGCACGGGTTTGGGCTACGTGAAACACAGAGTATTCGTGCAATGAAATATACCAAGCAAGATATGGGACGGAGAGGTACCCCCTCCCTTACCTATCCAATCCCTATACACTCTCTAGACTATTGTTACCTAACACATCCCCCCCGAGAAGTCTGTAAAGAATTCCTGAGATTCCATCAAACAATGATCAACACAAAGGCGGGGGGGGGTTCTCTCCATCCCATATCTTGCTTCAAATGTAATGAACACCGTCAGTGCTGGATACATACTCACTTCTCTTTCTTTTGCACCTTGCAATCATTATACGTGTATAATTGCAGCCAAACCTATCGGGCTAAAACAGCCACAGGACTCGATGAAATTGAGGAATTCTATTTCAACTTCATTAAATAATGGTTAGCACTTTTCGAACCACTTTAGAAACTACTCAAAATGAGGTTCACTGATCTTATGTACGAAGGACATGTTCTTATGTACGAATCATTCCGAAAACCCACTTACTACGTATTGCTATTTCGTTTGGAGAGCAATCTTGGATTCAAATTGCGATGAAGACTTTGGAGTTCAATGATAACAATAAAGATTATTTATAAAGCGCACATATCCACTCAAAATTGCTTATAGCGCTACAAAAATGAACAACACAAAAAAATTATAGGCTAACTCATTAAGCAAGATTATACAAGTATGTTTGATAGCCGTTTGAAACGAAATGAGATAAATGTGCTAGACCGCACACTCAGGGAGTAATAATCCTGACAGATCTGTCACCTCAGGACCGATATTATCTTGGTACAACTAGATATACCCACGTAATCTAGTTGGGCAATCTCGTTACGAAACCACAATAATGGTAGCTTTGGTACGGATTTACAATAAATGTAGATTCCTTACAAATCTACAGGTAACTGTAGATTTACAAATCTACAGGTAACTGTAGATTTGTAAAAACAATCCGCACTTTGAACAAAGGGGTGACTTCACAAAAGTTTAAATGTAATTATTTAGAAATTTCAAGTACTTCAGTATCCATACTCCACTATTAATACTCACCATTGCATCCCTTGCACGCGTAATGATGGGACATTCAAATTTCAAACTCCCTACTCCAGATTTCTTTGACTTTTCTTCTTACACGTTTGGACCAAGTCCTGTTTTCCGTATATTCTTACGGTTATCTGCCTTGCTACAATTTTTACGTTATATTCTTCGGTAGAATCGTTTTCTTGAATATTAAAGAACTATAGCGGAATCGTTACCCTGATAACAATCGAGTAATTTAAGCGAGATTGAACAACTCAATCGAATCACCGGAAACACTGTGAAGTGTTATGTATCATTTGTTTCATTCAGCAAGGAAGGCTCGCATTTTATTCAGAATTCTTGTTGTTCTAGCTGTACTAGGAGGAACAACTAGGGTGAAGGTATTAGCCGTGTCCTAACAAGGAGATGGTATAAAACGGGCTGGAAAGTAAAGACATTCACCTGTGGCATTGATGAATTAAATTCAACAAGTGCTGTTTTATCAGGTGATATCGAGGAACACTCTTTGGTGGAGTATCATTCGTGGATATAAGTTACATCAGGGGAGAGGAATATGGTCAATATAGAGGAGCTTGGCATTGCTAGATTTAGGCAGGATTTCTTGAAAAGGACACGTTTGTTCGTAACCTTTATGCCTTGTAACATTAAGATAATCGTTTCAGACAATGAGCAAGTATTCCTGACGTGTAAAGTCTATGCGCCTTACAATGATGTACATTGGTCACTGTTTAATATGTATTATTACGTCTTGGTCAGGTAGCTTTTATCTTTCAAAAATCATATGCGCCACTCTCGAGAGTTGCTGTACATTAATATAACTGGCATTTGAAGCGGGACACTAGAAATTAATAATCTAATTTTGTTGCTGATGGACTTGATTGTGTGGTGTCTCTGTGGAAAACAAAGCAGTTCGGTTTGGAAATCGTTGGTTTTTTCAGCATTCCATGCTCAAGGCACGGGCGTGTGAGCTGAATTAACCTTAACAGTCCCCAATCCTTCACCTGTTAGAGGACTGAGGACTGTCGGGGTTAATCGAAGAGTTTCCTCAACATGCTGGTATGGTATTGGACTTGGCAAAGGTACCAGTACATCGTCAAGCCTTCATGCCTGTTTTTGGTCAGGTAACACAACCACACAGGGTCAAAGTGGTGGCGTTTTTAGGGTCATTATGGTATTAACTTATGTACGTGGGATTTTCGAATATGTGTCTTCACACGAGTACCTTGGAAATCATGAAACCTTACTTTATTTGGACTCCAAAACATTAAACAGCGTAAATTTACAGTGATTGTGTTAAGTCAACTCGATGTAATTTTTTGAAATAGCTGCATGTAAATACAGCACTGATGAAATTATTCATTTTGTCTGAATCGTATGCTGATTTTGTTCTTGCTCCTCTTTGCCATTCTTAAAGACTTCTGACAGAAACGGAAAGCCAGCTTGATCTTTTTCATGTCGTACAAGATGAATGTTGAAAACCTATCCCCATCTTACAAGGGGCTACAGTTACGCAGAATTGGTCCATGAGTCGTCTGAAATCGAAGTAGTTTGTTCAGTTATCTCAGTGGCAGACAATGCACAAAGTGATTACATCTGTCTAGGAATGTGAAGGTCGTTTAGAACGGCCAAAATTATCGTTCAAACTTTATTTCAGACCGCAACTAGATGGGGGAATACATGCATACCATTTAAAGATAGCTGATCGTGCATTTCAAAATATCAAAAGAAACAAAACTTTGAATATGCATGGCGACATTTACTTTAAAGGTTTGAATTCAATGTTGACATTTTTTTGTGGGTTTGCTTGACATCATCCTGGTGTGAATTTCCATCGATTATTACATCGCGTTTAAATTTTCTGCGCTCCACTTCTCGGATCATGCTATGATTAGTTTTATTTACTCGCTGAAACGGATTCCGCAAATGTTCACGTTTTTGTGTTCTCACAGCAGAAAACGGATTTCTCCCCCAAAGATGGAGGGTCTTGATCTTTTTGAAACTTGACATGTATGTAAAAAACAACTTGAGTACATCTGTGCAGTTTTAATTCCTTCCTCCGTGGTCCAATGCAGTGGTTGCTGTAATTAATAGTTTATGTCGTCACACGTTTTGACTCACATGAATTGAGGACATCAATGGGAAATGATTGGCTGACTTACGTCAGGAAATGGGCGTCTGGCGAGAGTGGTATGCCCGATTGTCACAATATTAATGTCAAAATGATTTGAGACATTACTGGAAGCACCTCCGATGGTTTGGCACGAAAAATAGTGCTACGACGATATAGGAGAATGTTGTGTGGGTGTGGCTGTGCATAGCTTCCATCCTATCTTCAAGATTAAAATGCCTTTGTGTTTGCTGTTGTCAATGAAACGTTCTTAGTACATTTCGAGCAGTATGACGTATCGTTGAAATTTTAGCTGTCACTCTGTGGTTTTGTACAGCCTCATTTCTAAATGTTAGAAATATACCGAGACCATTGAAAAAATGTCAAAGAGCAATGGTCATTTATTATCATGGAATGTGTCCTCTTTAAACCATCTTTTCACAGAGTATTAGATGTAACTGCAAAGAGGCGGGATTTCATACAACCCTTTTCTTAAGAAGCACACTTTCGGAATTCTTTCCAAACCTTGAGATTCTTTTGCAAAGTTGCTTGTTTTGTTAATTAATTTCACCGAGTGCTGAGAGGAAAACGAATGACGATATTGTTGGTGTTTGGGTACACTGTGTGTGCAACTAGCGCCCCCTCCCCTCTGTCACAGCATAGGACTCTTTGGCACCCTCGTCTTCATGGGAACAAAACACCCGGGACCTTTCCCTTTTTTTTTCACGCATTCTGCCTGTGAATTTACACAAAGAGCTATGTTGACATTATAGTTCAGTTGTATTGGGCCCCCACATTTTCTGCATTAATATACACCGCATGCAAAGCAATCCGGGCGCTCAGGTTTTCAATGGAAGAAATTTGTACTAACATCAAAATTAACTTTCTCTCTGTTGTTTATTGTTGTGAAAGAAAAACAAAGTGCCATGGGTAGTTGGTCTATGTCCGAAATGAGCTACCTGGGCCATGGCTACTCGTGTTGTGAGCATGTCCTTGGGTATTTCAGATGGACGAAGACACCTAGCTCTATGGCAGTTGTAGCTGCTGTTCGCTAAGGCGAACAGCAGCTATAGGGGCCGTCCACAAAGTACGTACGCACGAAATGCCGACTTTTCAGACCCCCCCCCCACGCATGCGCATCTGGAAGACACTGTGGGTCTTTCTTGTGTCACGACTCATGTTGCGGTTTACAAACGAGGAGTGTTGGCAGGGGAGGATAAATGATGGGGTGGACGCTGAAGGATATTCTGTTTGAATGTTTTTTCCCACACAAAAAATATGATTCTGGTATTTATTTGTATGAGGAAAATGTATTGATATGCTGAAAATGTACTAAAGGCAAATTCTGGTTTGCGTATACGGTACGTATTGGCTTGAACCCCCTCCCGTCAGTACGCATGGTGTACGCAACGGCACCACCCCCCCTTCGCTTCGTGCGTATGTGCATGTACTTTATGGACGGCCCCGCCCCATATTTGATTGATACATATTCGGCTTGAGAAAAAGTTCAACGGGGGAAAAAGTTAGGCTATGCCACTTCATCCAGCAATTGTTCTTCGGCTGCACAGCTGTGGATGAATTTGGGGAAAAACACCAAACTGTTAGGCAATAAAAAGCTAGCCCAACAGCGTAGGCAGTAGATAATTCCACCTTCTTTGGATAAATATTGGCCATTTTTTTTCCCAAATAATACATGTGTGGTTTTAACTTTAGCCTTCATATCCTCTTCGCCTCGCCTCATTTCACCCCTGATATTGGAGTTTTTAGGCAGTAACAAGTCATGTTTTGCTTGAAGAGGAATAAGCTGTTTTATGTTGACCCCCAAATAAACGTTTTTCATTAATTTAGAACATTATGAGCATAAAAGCAATTTGGATGTTCAGAGATGAAACCTCTCACAAGGAGACAAAGCCAGTACTTGTCCCGATCCCCTTGAAACGACCAATCAGCTTTGATCACTAATTTTAAACAACGCCCTCACAGCCAATATTTCGTAACAGGTCGCAATTAATAGCCATTGGATGGACGATAATAAGAGGCAGTTTTTGAAGACGGGTATGGACTGCAGCGTATGCAATGTGTGCCACTGGATGCTTTGAGATCCGTATGTCAGTTCGAAGTTTCTGCCAAATGTCAGTTTGGGTTTACAAGAGTTCAAATTCCCTCTTCCGTTTCAGTGTTGTGAGCCTAGCCAGCTTGGTTTTGACTGTCTTCCAATATTGAAGGGGGGCAAGATTTTGTATGCTTATAATATTTTGATCCTTCTTAAATCGCACTTCGTATTACCTCTGAGTTGGCAATTTGTGATTTGTATGAAAATACATCTGACTTGTTCTACGAGAAGTCTGATAACCAAATATAATTTCCAAATTTTGACGTTCTGTTGGGAATATATTTTAAGCTTGTCGTTCCGACAAGTTTGATCTACCAAGTCCACGATATTGGTGTATCCCACACTGCACGGTTATGTCACACCATGCACGTGCAATCAGTAGAGGGCAGTATGCAAACATAGCCGTTATTAGTTTATGTTTGTCTGGGTTGGTAAGGGTGGCGCTGGAAGGGTTCCAAGAGAACAAACCTCTGATGGAGACAAAGCCGATACTTCCAGTCCCAAGCTCCCTTAGGATTACGGATCATTAATCGGAAAAAAACGCCCTCGCAGCCAATTTGTCAAATTCGCAACAAGCAAAGACAGACACTGGGCGTTTTAACGTAGGTGTAGAGCAGTTTCATCACTTAGAAGTGTCTTTTAATTAACAATACAGTCTTGTCTTAATGTTATGATGTTAAGTTGTCTTGAATTAATCTTGGTGTTTATGATATAAACTGGTTGTTTTATATTTGTTATTTCAAAGTCTTGTGGGACGAAAATGAAAAAGCCTGCATGTCGGCCTTTTGAGGGGTAGGGCCCTATCAGAGGACGGTCAAGTTTTCGGGGACGGGGCAAAAAAAAATTGGGAATTTCAATTATAACCTTTTATGGCCTTTCAGAGGAATTATGCCAGAGTTGGGGGCTTTCTGTACGCGTTTGGAAGGAAAGCACATGAAATAGTCCCCTAAATCACCTTTCTCTCAGAAATCTTCAAAAAGTAAAATATTCTTGGCCCCCTGTTGACACCCTAGATCCGCCTTTGAACAATACAATAATCTTTTACTTTCTTGCTTTCGTTTTTATTTCACTTTGTAAATTGCTTTGTTTTGTGTATATACATGAATTGACAAACACTCTTCCAGTATTTTAAAATTAGAATAGGCTCTTTTGCAGGATCCAAAGATTTAAAAAAGTATTTTGGGATATTATAAAACAAAAAAGCAAAATAATAAACAAACTCGTTACGAAGACAAAATATTTTAATGTACATGTATATCAACGTAAATGCAGGATTCGTATACCATTCGTATATCATCATCAATTTGTAAAAATACAACAAAGAAATTATGCCCTTGATGATAATAAATTATAAATATTTAAAGAAAATCAATAAAACATTGAAAATAATCGGCAAGGCTACTTTTTCTTTAACTGAGAATAAACTGTTTGAATTTAAAATTTGAAATTGGACTCGGATGCTAAACTTTGCAAGGATTTATTTAAAGAAGTCTATAATTGGGTCCTTCAAATTCAACGCTTTTTTGACAATGGAAGTTTGGACAATAGCTAAGAAGAAATGGGGGGGGGGTTAAAATGTACACGAGCATCACTGTAGCCTCAGGCTGGCAAGTAGTTTTTGTTAACTTGAACATGAAAAGTCCAAGCTGAAAGTGTGTCGCTAGCTTTTAGTATCTTCTCATTGAGAGAAGGGAAATCATTAAGAATTATGGCCGTATTTTGTTTCACACGGATCTGGATCACGATCAGTGAAAACAAATATAAGAAATTCGGTGAAATTTGTTACCAAAGTTAGTACATGTAGGCCTACATGTATTACCAATAAACGTAAATGTTCTTTGGTAAAGAGTTTGACATATAAATAAATAATATTCAGGTATTCCTTTTAATGTTAAAGATCTAATCCAATTAGAGGTTCGAACGAGATCTTTGTTAACCATGTTAATTAAAATATTTATGTCTTCCTGATTGTAAATCAGATTGAGTCGTCTGTAAATACAGGATAAATGTTTACTGTAGCATTTGTAAAGTCATTTAAAGAAGTCAGGAAATGTCAGTTTTCCAATAGTTATTTTCATTCCAAAAACAATTGCTATTTCCTCGGCAATGCCGAAATTCTATCTTTACGTAATTTGTCATAGTAGCCTAAAGTTGCCTTGACACACTTCTGAACGTCTTCTGGTAATGTGTCTATGACAGGTGGCGGTTCGGGCTTCAAGAACTCTGTACTCTCAAAAGCTGCTTTGTAGAAACCCAGCAACTTGTCACCTTTCACAAGATACTTAGCTATCTTCCACTGCTTCACAATGTCACTCCCTGCAGGCCAAGATAAGAGAGTGTCACTATAAGGGATGCCCGTCTTCTCGCAATAGACAGGTAGGATTCCAGACGGGTCAGCCAGTAGGTCATCTGTATCAACAATGGTTGGGGTGGGATCCAAGTTCAATCTGACGTAATCCACCAAGTCACTGAGCTCTTTGTAGCCGAACCCGGATGGAAAAAGTGGCAGCTTCAGCAGGTCGATCTCTCCACCGTAAAATCGCGTAAGAAGTATCTTCAGAGACATGTAGACTTTAGCAGGATGCCGAATGGCAAAGCTGTACTTGAATCCTTCGGGAAGCATGTCGTACTTTCCTGCCAGATGATGAGCGACATCTTTACAGAAGATGATCTTCTTATCTGGATAATGTTTCTCTGACAGCAACTCGTCTTTGATCCAGCTGAAGGTGCATGTCTTCTCGTCGAAGCTTTCTCCAGCGTCCACGGACGGATCTAACACCTCGTATGTTCGATCGTCAATCATTTTCTCTTGTTCAGTGGGATTTTGTGGTTTGTCTCTCGCAACATCTAGAAGGAAGGCACAGAGGTAGGGTTCGTGCACAATTTGTATTGCATCAACAAAGCTCATGCATTTTGCGAAAGCCGTTGATACACAACGCGGAGTACTCCAGAGGAACACTTTGTTCACTCCGAGTTGGGAAGCCATGACTGAATTATTGTCATACATACACGTACACTACTGTTCAGAAACGTGTGAACTGTTACTGAAAGGAAGTGTGTTTTGGGATAGTCAACCAGTACTCGAATTTGATAATGTACATGTATACTGACCTTTAAACTTGTATAAATAGTACTTGGGCGTTGTTGCTACAGGCCACTGGAGCTGAGAGGGGCGTCAGTAGGCACAAGTATGCAGTACCGTGCAAGAGTACATCTCCAGTATGTGGTTCATGTGGAAGTTGGATGGAATAATGTGGGTATAAGAGGTAAAGAAGGGCGACAGAAGGATAACAGTTTTAAGCGCATGCTGCTGTGGCAGTAACTTGTGCCAACCTTTAGAAGATTGTAAGCGCGGGTCAGCTTGACAAACAGCGATCGTATGTTATTATGTTTGTTATCCCTTTTGTATCGGAATTGCTTTGAAAAGGTGATGATTTTACTTGATTTTGCCCATTTCAAATTATTGTAAGTTTCAAAAAAATTGTACTTTCCGGCTTCATTATTACTTTCTCGCTCAGAATGTCCAAAGAAACTGATGTATATCCAACAAAACAGGTTTCTCCCCTCTGGCTGCCGGATTATGTATACGGACACGCTGATAAAATCTATTTCGCAAAATGGCAGAACAAAAAATCTCAATTGTGTTGTCTCCACCATCATATTCAGCCGATTCTAACGTTAGATCTGACGATAATCATCCTCTTCCGATCCGGAGAGTTAGAAGTTAGATGTTGCGTCAAGCAAAAACGACGGGAAGAAATCGCTTTGGGGACTCAACCCTACATGGAGCCATGCAATCCATTTGCGAAGCACGTCGGCTCAAAGTGGTCACTTCACAGGGCCAAGTACAAACTGAGTCCGTCCAACTTCGCCCTGGTAGTCGTGACTTTTGCTGCCTGCATTTTCCGTAAGTTGGGATCGGTAGGAAACAAGTGTAGACTCACACCATCCTTAGTAGTTTTGTTGCACGTAGCAGCAGCACACCTCGTTTGCATGGCAAAAAACTGCGGTTTTGGATCCAAATCGTAGAATACCTTCACGCAACTTTTTGCGCTTGCTTCTGCAGGGTCGGACCGGTCAGAAGGCAAGCATGTGCCTCGGTTTGCGTGGTACCCCTCGCGAAGATTTATGTCAATTGGGTAAAACTCCGTAAAATTGGGTAAAACTATTGGTTTCTACATGAATAATGCAACATATACCCTTATCATCCTGTCTATAATGTTTTTGGTTTACTACTTGCAAAAGGTCAAAAAAGCACTGTTCATATTTTTTTACAATGGTCAAAGCTTAAGGGTACAGACCAGTAAATATGCTGCCATAGACAACAGTGATAAATATCACCACTTCCAAAAATCAGGAAAGAAACAACTTTCGTAGGTGTTCAAGACACATATCATATTAAATCTCACTTCCCCTCTTTCATTTTCTTTTCATTTTTAGTGGCTTAACCGATGGCTTTTGAAGATATTTCTCTCCAGAGAAAATAAAAAGCAGTCAGGAGGCCCATCGCCATTTTGAAATTGGTGCCCTACACTCCATTTCAAAATAGAGCGATTTGGAAGGCTTCGTTTGGTCCGATACTTTCAGGAATACAAGCTGGCAGTCCTGTCCCTGGCTTTCAACCACTTTTTTAAACAAACCCTATAGTACACGTGCCAAGAGAATTTGACAGCAATTTTGGATCTATTTACTGATCTGCAACCTTGATGTATCTCTCACCTGACTGATCGACTGACCAACTCACAGTCCACAGGGCGTATTGCCAAAACAACGCCCACGCGAGGTCACGAAGCTAGTAGAGTCCCCTTACGTGGCAAACTTCGACTTTCACTTCACTTTCCTCATACATGCCAAACGTCTCGGAAACCTCAAATTCATTTGGTTAAATTTTACTGTATCTAGTCTGGTAATGTGACCTTCATAATACATGCTGTTGAACCAAGCCGGGCAAGAATTCAGCCGAATATTCCCCAACGTAGCGCACGTGAGAAAAATATGCAGTTACTGACGTTACAACAAGTTTGTTAGACAATTATTTGTGTACTTTTGAGTCATTTTAAAAGAGTTCATTCTGCACTTCAGAAAGAAAATTCGGGAAATTGAGCCAGAATAAAGTTTCATAGGAACTTTGCCGTTAAATCGAGATTTTTAAACAGAATACATGTATTTGGATTTTTCACTTGTGGTGAACTCTGAAATAAAAATACTGCTTCAGCAAGGCATTAGAGACAAAAACCAAAGTGCGACACATTAGGGTAGGCCTACACCAGAAACGTAACTACGCTTGTGAAGGTGTTAAACCCGCTAGCGGTACATCTGCATTATAAGAATAACTGAAGTAATGTACGTGGTCACACAAGGCTGGGTTTTCTTCCGTTCCATCCTTTCAAACACCTCATGGTTTATCTCAAGGACTATCTGACAGCGGTGCACAAAATTCCACGTCAGTATTTCCTTCTTCCATTTTCATTTTTGATTCAGAAAGATTTTCCCTCATCCATCAGTTCTAATTGAAAAATCAACATACCATGAAATTCAAGTCAGAAGTCAGAACATATAATTTAATGCTTGCCTCCAAGTGATTAGAGGATAGGACGAGAGCTCACCTTGACGAAACTGGGAATTGTTTTTATGCCCGTTGCTCCAATTTATTTTCTTCCTCAAATCTCGTTCATAATACACGGGAACATTTTAGTTGTGATCTTTGTTTCGATTTTCTTTTACAGACGTCATTTAAGTAAGATTTTTTTAAAGCATTTTTAAGTGTGTCAAATGTTTCACACAGTGGCTTAGCCCGCCAACGGTATTTTCCAACGACCGTTCACACGGATGGGCGATCGTTTGAAAACGTATGAATATTTATTTTTTCTTCAAACTGACAGTGCTTCTGGCAAAAAATGTCACTATTGTCTGACGCAGTTATTTCCTTAAGATATTTAAATATAGTTGCCAAAAAGCCCCCGACCCTCCCCCCCCAAGAGACCAGAAGAATACCTATTTCGGGAAATTGCGAAAAAGTAAAAAAAAAATGAAAGAATGCCGTTTTTACAAAAGAACAAAAAAAAATCTTACGAAAAACAAAAACTGTTTCGCTGAAACGCTGGAAAGGCTAAAGAACACCTTTTTCGCAAAAAGCGGAAAAGCCAAATGGATGTAATTAGTCCCAAATCAATTATTTATTTTGTGTTTAAGACTTGAACCGTTCATTCCCATGACTTCACATTTTGACAATGACTCCCCCGAAGTTACAATGTCGTGGCTTTTGTTTTCCAGATTACAATCATATTTCTCCTGTTGCATTTAAACCTAACAAGAAGCCATGTGAATGCAAATCAAACAGGATCGGAGTGATCAACAAAACATCTGCCTCCCAGACCAAGGATAACAAGATGCCAGTAATTGGTCTGTGGAAAACTGTCCAACTGAAATAAAGCATGAAAGCGGTACAGTAATGGTGACCGGAGTAAACTTTGATTTTATGAATATCCTGCTTCATATGATGGAGTATCAAAAAGTTGGAGTTTGCATCAACACCACAGTCATTGCAGAAGATTCCAAAGTTTATGATATGTTACGTAATTTAGCAAGAGACGACTCAGCTATCCATGTTCAGAAGACTTTCTTAGAAGAACTCGGGGATATGGAGCCCTCGACCCATAATCGTAGTCAGTACTACGGCTACACGAACTGGCGCTAGGTGTATTTTCTCTCTCTTCTGAAGCAGGGACGTGAAGTTTTGTTTACTGACTCTGACACGTTCTGGTTCAGGGATCTATTTCCATACTTTCAAGGCGATTTTGACATTTGTCTTAGATGCAGGGCTCCAACCAGATGGAAGCCAAACTTTTTAATGCTGGCTTCTTATACCTGAAACCGACCAATGCAACTATTAATTTTGTGAGCGAATTTGGATGACACCAGCAAGAAAAAAGGTTCGTACGAGCTTGATCAAATAGTAATGAACAAGCTACTTCGGGATAAAAATTCCAGTGTGGATATCAAGATACTCCCTCAGGATCTGTTTCCGTTGGCCCCCGACTTCTTAAAACCCATCGTGGCAGAAAGCAAAACACAAGACTGTGGTATATCATGCCGCTGGTGTACAAGTCCACCTAAAAAAATTCAAACATTTCAAGAAATTTGATTTATGGCTACTTAATGGCACAATAAGCTCAAGTTAGGCCGACTAGTAAAAGAAAGATAGGCCTGAAGATATTTGTGTTGTTTTAGAAGGTGTACAAAATATTTCGTTTTGTCACAAATCATTTGAATATTTGAACACTGGAATCTAATGCAGTTCTCGTTATTAATCTTTTATGCCCCTGTAAACTGTTTTGTCGATTTTTATTGAGCCATTTGAAAGGCGGTATGATGCCTCATCATTGTTATTCTGAGAAAATTCATGCAAATTTGCATGTACACGAGTAAATTTATAATGTCATCCAAGGCAATAACCTTGGTTTACAGCTGTTCCTCTGCACTAACACTTGCCAAAATTTTGGTGTAAAAAATTTCGTTCACTTGGTGTTCGTTGTAAGTTGTAGTTTGTGACAGTATCTAAGGGGATACTTTCATTGAACAAAATTTGGATTCACAGTCTGAACAGAAAACCCTTAATAATTAACAGTGCGTCTTCCCGTAAGACCTCATAGCAACAGCGGCTTCAAATGTCCAAAAACGGGAAAATTGTAAAACTTTGAAGTTTCAGTGAGACAGCAAATAAAATGTTCATATTTGTATGATAATATTAGAATATTGCACGAAATGCAATTTTAAATTTTCAATTACAATTTTATCTTTGTCAATTTTAACGTTCATCTTCATGTATTTAAGAGACCTAAGATAATAATTAACGTAAAGTTATAACTCGAATGCATATGTTCATCTCCTTTCTTTCTTAAAATTGCTTTGTTGTTTTCACCTTATCGTGTATTCGTTTTTATTATAGGATTGATCAGGGTACAATATCAGTACTGTATGTCACCTTGTATTTTTATAACATTGATGCAATTTTAAGTATTACATGTATATTACACTATTAACTGTATTAAAGATATTAGGACATGGATGTTTCCTGACAGACTTTTGTTAAGTGATGACAAAACTGAGTTTATTGTTCTTGGTAGAAAACGACATTTTTTTTGTCCAAAATGAATATCCCTGATATTTTACTGGGGGGATACCGGCATTGTACCAGTTAGTCACGTACGAAATCTGGGTTCATTGTTTGACTCAAACATGTCTTATGTCTACTCACATCAATAAATTTTGTTCCGCTGGATATTGCTATCTTCATCATATAAAATGCATCAGTTAGTTTTTATCAACGAGATCTCTGGCCAAGCTTTCATTACTAGTCGTTTGGATCAATGGGTTGCTCTATGGATTGCCTGCTTGTCAACAGCCTAAGTTACAGAGGATTCAAAATTCGGCGGCAAGGCCATCGATTACAAATCTCCCCGAAGGTGTCATATTACTCCCCTTCTTAGTTCATTGCATTGGCTCCCGATCAAGCTGTGCTGGTTTTTAACCCCTTCAGCACCACCGTGCCAAAAAGGCACAAATGAAACACCCCCTTTTCATGCCACAGTTTCCAGATAAGCACGAAAAATTACAACCCCATCGCTACCGACGCGCCCTTCAGGAATAATCTAACCGGTAGGTTGTCGAAAGCGTAAAGACGCCCTCACTTGAAAACCCACTTCTGGCGGGCATCCTTTGCTGCGGTAAAAGTTTAGCGTGGGTACGCGCAGCGTTGCCACTTTTTTCACTTACCTGACATGTAATGTTTCACACAGCTAATAAACGAGCAATCACATTTTGCACGAATTGTTGGCCGATAGCAACTCCGACATGTCCTCCAATGCTCGCGATGCCAGCGGTATGGACGACGGTGAAGATGATTTATCGGCTGCAGCAAAGCCCGATTACCGGCGTGGGTGGACCAAAGCCGGACCTTCATGGCGGAAACATGGGGAGACATGTCAGCACCCGAATCTATGGTGAATAGTTTGATGAAGATGTCGTTAATTTCCACAATTTCCCACCTCAGTGCTCAAAACAATGCATAGTTAGCTTCTGGTACAGTTCATGGATGTCAATGCCGAGGGGTGGGAACTTACCCCCCCCCCCAAAAAAAAAATTAAAAATCACCCATCTATCATTCAGTAGGCCTACCTAGCACAGAATAGGCTGCTGGTGCAATAAACCTTTTTGACGTTTGCAAAGCATTATGTGTTTGGATGACAAGAAGAGGCCAGCCCTATGAGAGAAGTGTACTTGCAAAACTTTAATCTATTTCCATTTTGTTCTGTACTTCTATTCACGCCATCCTCATCTGACAGTGTTGCATTATTAATTTGAGATGAAGATATTCATAAACTTCAAAGTTGGCAGAAAAGGAAAGTTTAGGAAATCCTTTCCGACCATACACGTTTTGTCATGAACTGTGCTTCAACTAAGAATGTGAATATTAATGCTTCAGTATCGTCCAATCAAAATCACGACTTGTAGCTCATTAATCCCGCGTTGACCAGTCACGTTTAATTTCAACCTGTGCAGTAACTGGTGCCCTAACAAATAGTTATACGGTTAAACACAGAATTAAAAGAGAGCATTGTTAATACACTGCTAAATTAATTTGTGAAGTCCCAGAGACCGTGTTTTAACAGTGTTTCACTGTAATTAAGGGTGATTTCTTCTTCTTACAAACACGTTAAAAACAGTCGTATGAAAACAGTTTCTTGTATGATACGCATCTAATGATCAGCAAGAATAGTCCGGGTGTTCGCTAGGCATCCGTAGATACAACCCTAACGCAATACATGCTCCTTAACAACTTGATGAGTTTTCCTTGTTTCTCTCACAGGCCACATTGGAGCAACACATTCTGAAGAATCGACAGACTTCACGCGAGTGCAGATCTTCCAATTATTTTTCTCGCAAGTGGTGTGGGAGCTACTGGTCACTGAAATATGCGAACTGAGCCGCATGCATACAAGTCAACGCCTCCATGTTAGTTGTGAGAAAAATGTGGCGATGACGTATGTGAAAAAAGTTGTACTGGATGGCGATGACGTAATGGTGGCGCACGAGCCAATCAGATGCCATGAAAGTACACTCCATTGCGATGATGTTTGGGGAAAAAATCGCGGCCCGGTCGACTACTTCACAAAAGGGTGGAGACATTTCCGTTTCCTGAGATTGGAAACGTTGCAAGGGTCCTGGTTGAGCAAGCGATCACTCGGTTCGACACTCCCCTAGAAATCCACACGGATCAGAGGCTGACATTTACCAAGGTGATTGCAAGTTCAACATGCACAAAACCAGCACCACGCCATTCCATCCCCAGTTGGATGGCATGGTGTAGCAGTAAGAATGATGCTAATCCTATTTGTTGACGAGAATCAGGACAACTAGGTCGAACAGCTCCCATATGGGTTGATGGTCTACCGTTATTTTCTGCACGACAGTGCGAAGGTTACGCTGAACATTGCTCGGTCGGGAGGTAGGGATCCCATTGAATCTAGTGGTGGGCCAGTCAGAGCCGGCAGTGGACGTTGAGGCATACAAATATATGAACGGGATGAGGGCAAGGATGGAGCGCCCAAGAGCTAGTGTATCAGAAGCGTCAGCACGATCGCCTAACGATAGGAGTCAGGTATGAGCCTGGACAGCCAGTATATGGTCGAAAAAGGTGGGCTGTTGGAGGGCCAAAGCCAAAGTGGTCCACTTCAACCGTCCGAAGCCGTACTTTGGTGATGTGGAGGTGGACTGGTGGAAGCATGCAGCACAGAAACCTCTCGAGGAAGGGATTTACCTTCTCCCTCCGGCAAACAAGCGGCCCCGTAGCCGAGCTTGACAACCGAGCAAACCAAGTATGATCCTCAGGCTGAAAGAAGTGACCCAGTAGTTGAGAACGGCTTGACCGCGGGTCCGGATCAGCCCAAGACACCGCCGTCTGGCATATCCACTCCGGACAGGCGGAGTGTTGCCGGACCGGGGTCTTGCACTGAGCCCTGTAGGGTAAAGAATGACCCAAATCCGGTTCGGAGCCAGCCCTCAAGATCTGGTGCAATCCCCGATGCATAAAGTAACCCACCAGGGCGGAAGATAGTTCGATCCAGGGCCATGGCCTCCGATCCTGTGAAACCAGGGGCGGCGAGTTTTCTTTTCCCCCCCCCTCCTTCAGCTCTCCCGGCAGGGGACATCAGAGCCCCCTCCTCTCAGAACTTACTACGACCGTATACGGATACGTTCTCACCGTCAAAGAAGCGACGGAACTTGGATCTGTTGGTTGAGATGTGGGGCCATGACCGCTCGGGACAGGCACTCTCCAACCCTGTCTCCCGAGCCGTCAACCGGCGAGTGCAGCCCCATGACAGAAGAGCCGTCGACACTTGAAACAGCCACCGATCTATTTTCTCTCCAATACCGAAATTCTGTCCTTGTGCAAATGAACGTCTTCACGTAATGTGTCCCGAATAGGTACCGGGCGGTTTGGGCTTCAAAAACTCCGTACTCTCAAAAGCTGCTTTGTAGAAACGCAGCAATTCGTCACCTTTCAAGAGACACTGAGCTATCCACTATTTCACGGTGTCATCCCCTGCAGGTCAAGCTTTGAGAGCAACACTAGCGATGCCATCCTCATATGCAGCAAGGTATGAGACGGAGAGAACCCCCCCCCCC